GGGGGGGGGTGTTTACTGGGGCTATTTTGAGGGGTTCCATAATCGCATATGACACATTTGGCTTCCGTTTTACGTTTGAGGTTGGGATTAGGGTACCGGTTAGTGGTTTCCGATTTTCGGGTTAGGGTTATGCCTTTAGGCCTAGGTTTTCGGGTTACGGTTAGGATTTGAACGTACGATTAGGTTTCAGTATTACGGTTAGGTTTTCCAGTTACGGCTATGTCTAAGGGCTACGCTTCCGTTTACGATTTCGGTTAGGGTTAGGGTTGCCGTTAAGGTTAACGGTTAACGTTTACAATGGAGGTTAGGGTTAGGGTTATGGTTTGGATTAAGGTGAAAGTCGCCGTTTGCTTTCCCATTCTTAACTAGCAACTGCGATCTAGCCGAAAGGTTCTTTTCTGAACGAATTCCAATATCACATTTCTATTTGAAGCTGAGTGTGATTTGACCCTCGAGGGCCACTTATCAGTAGGCCTTTGTGCCCTATCGAACTCATCGCTGACGGAAGACCGATTGCAGGAGCAACGCTAAAGTTGTTTTTGATAGGAGTTCGAAGTAAACTGAGTCAGCCACTTCATTAAGCTTCTGGTAGCGATTTCCTCTGAGGCGCAACGGAGGTCAAGGCTGTCGACAACATTTCAATTCCAAAAACGATTGTTATTTGCATTTGTGAGTTAACTTTTTTGAAGCATAGACAAAATGCGATCCATTCTCAGTTTATTTTAGTAAGGCGTTAACTCAAGCAGAGGCCAAATGGCGAAATTTCAGGACACTGGAAGACGTTCACATTTCACTTGAAGCAGAAATAGGGGTTGACTTCAATCAGCAACGCATACGATTTGTCCCCTCCCTGTGAGAAACCCTAGATTAATGCCAGCAACTCACTTGCAAATCGGACGTTTTTGTGGAATGACGCAAAAGCCTTCCTGAAGTCAGCGCTGATGACGTCAACCCTATCTTATTAGTCGACTGCACGTGTCCACTTCCACGTCGAGAGCAAAAAGCGCAAAAGTCAGGAGCTCTTCTGTCTGAAGCCGTCGTTGGGCCCTGAGAGCAAGTGGTTCTTCTACAGAAACTTTTTTGTTACCTTTCCACATATAGTTTCCATTAATTTATAACAAATGCAGGTTGAACTAACGGGACGCTAATTATCCACACTGGTTCGAGGCCCATCCCTATGTATCGGGGCGGATTTCGTTTGTCATCTATTCGGACGGCAGTCGTGCCAATTCAAATGACGAATGGAAGATATGCACCTGTGTTTGGGAGAGTTCGCTCGCCAATTCGTTTAAGAAATTCGCCGGTAATTGTACGAGCCCGATGACTTTGTTTTGTTAAGTCTGCAGCTCTCTTCCCGCGGCAGCTGCTGGGAAGAGCGAAGATTTGGGCACTGAACCAGTGTTTGCAAGAAGACAGCTGATGTTGCGAATCTGAAACTCTGTTTCTCTTTAACCTATTCAAGGTAACGATGAGGTGTAGGAACCACAAGTAGATGGCAACTCCACAAATATACCCTAAAATCCTATGTGACTGTAAACATCATCTATTATTCACCGCTCCCATTGCTTTAAAGTTCCTTCCTTTCCTGACCAAATGTAAACTTACCAACGGCGCTTTATGCAAAGCCCATCATTTTTTGAAAAGTGTTTTTTTTCGTTTTTTAATAATCGCGCCCACTTTTTTGCCAAATGATAACGTCCGATAACACTTTGGGCAGAAATTTATCTATTTTCTATGTCTTCTTGCCCTCCGTCCTGTGTGTTGCCCCACCCGTAAAACTTCCTCTACAACCATTCAACATATGACACGGTCCACAGGCCAGCTGAAGTTAGTTAGGGGTCCTACACCCTAGCTCTGTCCCATCCAATGTCCACGAGCATCACCGCTTGCACCCCAGCACGCGTGTCTCACGACTGTGAAACCTAGTCACGCTGTTGGCGTACTCACAAGGCTTTTAGATGTGCCCACGGGTGTTACCTTGATACCTGAGCGTCTCGAGCGACAGCAACCAGTGCGACTTGACATACAGTGGGATTCAGAACCGCAATATACGCAGTCACTCACAACTGCTGGGGACTCCCTGACAAGCGATTGCAAAGACCTGTATTAATGTTTGCCTTACTAGTCCTGCCTTTACGACCAGAGATTTGCAAAAAATCTTGTTACCACCATTGCGCTTTTTATGGTTGTCAGTTCTCAACACGTATGGTTTCTCAGTCAGGATACTTCATAATATAGACAAAATAGCACTGCCGACAAAGACAAGATAGACCGGAATGGCCATCCCTGGCCTGTTAGCTGTCATCGGTCAGCCATACCAAGGTTGGCTAACAAACCAAAAATGGTCTTTTCAGTCTTCCTTGACTTTGTCGTTATTTTATTCAGTCTATATTATTCGCCGTCGTGCAGATGCTAGCGGGGCTTGAGAGAGTCCCAAGACACAACGGGACGAGTGAGTTCCGTAACTAGACCGGTTCACGCCCCCTATCGTACTTCATAATGAATGCTTGAATTACACATGCGTACTGGTGGTTTTACAGGCCACATCCGATGTGATTTTTGATAAAAGATTTACAAGAAGCAACGGTCAGTAAACATCTGCGATGAATTTTACAAAGTTAGAAGATGAGGAATTACTTATTGTAGGGACCCCTGTTTCCCAACGGGAATTGAAGAAACAAGACGAGGCCAGGCGAAAGTCGCGTTGACCAGTCTCTGAAACTGGAGTGCGCAGGGCTGTAGATGGGTCCATAGAGTTGCCAGAAGTGCAGGAGGAACGCCTGGATGTCGGCGGCCTTTACTGCGACTTAAGCAGCCCTCTCCACCTGGCTTCTGAAGACAGAAGAGTCCGCGTTGTGGATGTAGGTAGAAGCGGTCCTCAGTTAGGTAATGGGCAAGGCCGAGAAAGCGTTCAACGCCCTCTAGGACTTTAGCGGGTTGCGTCAGAAGAGCATCTCCGTTCACGAGCAGCAGCTGCTCCAACGAAAAATGCACCAACCAGGGACGAATGAAGTTGGAGTAACAGGAGAGTCGAACTGGACCGTAGGTGGATCTTATTCGCCGCCGGTCCCCTGCCTCCAAGAAGCTTTCCTCAATGGAGGGATAGCTACGGTTCATATTCCTGTACCTCTGTTGTAACTGTTCACAAGGTTTGGGATTTAATAATGCCAGGGGTGTATTTCAAAACAAGTTGCATAATTAACCTTTTAACCGGAACCTACACCGTAGGTTAAAATTGTTTCACTGTTGCTATCTTAAGTAAAACTTTGCTGTCCGCTGACTGGTGAAAACATTCTCGCTTTATTTAGAAAAAATCCTTGCTGAGTGGGAAGCCAGTTACGAGAGAAATTTCAACTATGAAAGTAGCTCAACATTGATTTTCAGGGGTTTCCTACTGCAGAGGAAAATAGTACCTGCAGGTAATCGGAGACTGCGCGCTCCAGAGGATCGCGAACAACCAGCAGAAGGCGGATGTTTGGGTTGAACTCATGAATACGACGAGCCACTCCTGGCGTATGAAAATAAGCCGGTGTTTTTTCTATTACCCAGTCGTTGGGATGGGCCAGTGGCATCCGCGATCGATACCACTCTAGACCGCGACTGAAACACACAATATTAGCATTTGCCATTCATGTAGTATGCATACATTTTTTATATTTTTCCTCGTACATTTTTACTATAGGCAATATGTTATTACCTACAAAGACAAGGGAGACTGGAATGGCCATTTCTGGCTTATAAGGCGTCGTCAGCCGGTCATACCCAGCCCCGATGTGTGAAACACCCGAGGCTCGAACTTACGCCCTGTTTGTTAGAAGTCCACACCCCTAACCACTGGGCCACGAGCCCGTTGCCCTGTCGGTTTTCGATCGGGAATATACAGTTGTAGGGGGCGCTCACCGATCGTTCTTACGGAATTCACTCGTTCCGTTGTGCCTTACGGGCCCTCTCTCGAGCCCAACTAGTATAGAATCCTAGTACACGATTCGGGTAATAAGTCACTAATTTAGTCCCTACGAGGGGCTGCGTTTTCGATGGGCCGGCTCAAAACGCAAGGCGTTAATCGAGCTGTGCATAGTTCGCACAGGCCCATGCTTACTGCCACACATGGGGAATATCGCCACACACCCAGGCGTAGGCCCCACACACCGTGCCATTCGCCGAGCCCAATCTCAGCACCAGATGACTGACAGGCTCCAACAATGAACTAGCGCACATGGAAGGAGAAGGGAGGAGGGAGGTGTGCGGTTGACGCTGTACCATGGCTTATCAGCGCATTCCTCACTAATAATAACTCACTACGTACTAGGCGTCGTGGCTTGGAAGCCTGCCAACTGACGAGGATAACACGGTCCTCCACTCAGGACTGAAAGTCAATTTGCAACAATTCCTTCTTAATGTGGCCTTTATGTCCCCCCCGACTCATGGGGCATCCGAGACGTTCTAACCGAAGCTGGGCACATGTGGTGAGACCAGGTAGTGTGCGGCACTCTAGGCGGGTATTAACAGTATATTTTAGGGTAGTAGGTAATGCCCTTGATGACCATATTGAAAACGGCGCCACAATATAAATTTTGAATGCACATTGTACTAACATTCTGCTAGTAACATATTAATTTACGTAAAAAGGTTTACGGTGCTGGACTGCGAAGGGTGCGGCAGGCGGCCTTTTCTATGTACATTTGAAATTTTAAGAGCGTTTTTATATAATCAACATAAAGTGCAGTCACTCGTGTAGTTTACGAAGGAAAGTCTCATGAAACGTCAGGGATGCGTTGCATAAGGATGAAATCTGGAAATAAAATTTATGCATGGCCGCAGATAGTCCTGCAGTGAGAGTCGTCGTTTATCAAAGATCAAACGATCTAGCTGCCTTTTGGATACAGCCATTGCATCAGATGTCACTATTTCACTTGGGGGTGAGCTCCACGGTCGAGCAACACGCTGGCTGAAGGAAAACGTGCGACGGTCTAGGCGTGTACGTTCCCGCTTGACTTGGTACGGATGACCGCACAGGTGACTCATGGTCGTAAATTCAAAGAAGTCTTCGGATTTGAGCGAACATTCATGCCCGTGGATAATGCGGAATGTCGATACGGGGTCACACCGCATTCGTCTATAGGATAGGGGGAACAAGTTTTGTTGGATCAGTCTTTCTGGGTATGACAGAGTCCTGAGGCCGTCCACCAGTTTTGTGGCCCATCGTTGCACCTGCTCTATGGCATCACTGTCTTTCTTCATCCAGGGCATCCATGATGACATTCCGTATTCCAAATGCGGTCTGACGAACGGGCCGAATATCTAGTTTGGTCTTGTCAGCCTCTATGCCCACGTTCCCTCCCTCAACGCCTTGATTCTGCCCTGCCACCAAAGGCAGGTGGGTCGGTGTGGAGAGAGTGAGGCAGATGTGTCGTAAGTCTGCTTCACTATAAACTAATTCGCGCGATGCTGTGTCCATTCTGCGGAGCACACAGTGAATGCCATCGTTTGTAATAATCGAACTGTCAGTTCAGTAGTACACGGTGTTTTGTTAGATCGCATATTATGTCTAAAAACTTCTTCATATTCAGTTAAGTAGGAATTTAAAAACGGGCATCTCAAGAAATTGAACAAGGGCGATGAATACTGTCGGCATACTTTCAACGCATGTGGCATGTATATGTAATAAAGGCACCGCAGAGAAAAAGAGCCAGTCAACACGGATGGGCATAGACAAAGAAAGGTCTCCTCTAAAATATTACAATCGAAATTGTGGTATGGGTTAACGAAAGGCGAGATTGGGGGAAGAAGACAATTTGAAAAATAATTCAAGAGAAGGATAGTAAGAACTCGGGAGAACCATTACGTAAAGAGACACTAAAACACTTGGTGATCGGTTAACTAGTAGAATTTCAGAATCCTTTATCAGCAAGGTAAGAATGGCTGCAATCCAAATAGACCACTTATGATGAAACAGTCATAAAACAAAGAGAATTTTGTTGGAAAAGTTTGATAGAAAGATAGGAGAAGGGCTAATTGCCAGTGTGTAACAGGCAAAGTAGGAGCTTGAATAATAAGTCAATACGAGTTTTTCTACATCGGTTAGGGAGAAAGCTTGGGAATGGTGCATAATATTTTTTGTTTGACATCCTTCTCTGTACAATCGCGCTGTGCGCTACCGTAGCAGGCCTAATGATTATCGGTCGGAAAAGTACGTTCACATCAAGTCAAGTTCCCTCAAAACCTAAACCAATAACTCACACGTAGTTTGAATCCCGGTCGAAGAAGTGCTGTTCGGATCGAGCCACCTTTATTCCAGGGTGCTCGGCAAGGAAGTTTAGCAGGGCGCGTGTTCCACCCTTCCTCACACCAATGATAAGGCAGTTGGGCAGACGCCGTTGCATATTCTCCTTCTCAGACTGGTTCTCGGGAGGAAGTCTGTAGTCGGGCTTCCGCAGGGTTGGGCTTTGGCTAAACAGGGAAAAGCCACAGAGCACGCGAGTGATGACAAGAGACGCCACAATCCACCAGCATCTCTGAGCTAACATCGTGGTTTTCTTGTTAATGGCGTAATGCCTTAGTCCGTTGACCCACCCGTGTCTTTCTGACAACAGTGGGAAAATGAGGGCATTACCAATCAGGTCATGAGTTGAATTAAACCAATCAGAAGAGGGTGTTGACGATTGTGTACGTTGGTAAACAGTCAAATGGATTCGACTGAGATGCAGTTACAATGGGCTTAATTTCTTTTACGAATAGCAAGATTCTGCACGTTTTTTACGCCTAATGTCCCCGAATCGCAATTTTTGGTCCCTTATTTTTTGAATGAAGGCCTGAGAAAATTTAACACCCTCACGTATAACAAGTTAGTGACCTAATAAGTACGTAAGTTCTCAAACTTTTCGTTGATTGCACAAGGCAATTTAATTAAAGGGGTGGCAGAAAGTATGCTTCCCATGCTTTGTGTGCCTCAACTTTAGTCTTTATAGAATTCACTGTGTGAAAGCATCAAGAATTATGATAGTAAAATCTTCTGTTTTCGGCATGACCGTTCAGCACCGATCTGATCTAGGTTTCTCAACAGCTTTCTGTAAGCGTTCGCCAAAACATGCTATTGTTCGGAGAATACAAGAACCTCAAAGGCAGAGGAGTTTACCAACGTCAGCAAATTCTGAAAGATTCGAAGCATTTTCTTATTTCGACTGAATGATTTCAAGGGAAGTAATTTTTCACAACTGTGCGAAAGTGACATTCTTTTCACACTTTTTGATAGAAGATGTACGATTAACAAGTACTGATTTAGAGTTGTGAAAATTCCCATAGCAATATTCAAAAGACGAAGTGGCGAACAAACGTTGCTTTCGATAACTTCTCTTCAGGCCGGTATAGTTACATGGGGATGAGGTACAGTGATTGGAAAAATCGATTAAAGTTAGTTCTAAAATACAGACTGGGTAAGATCGAAAGGGGCGCAGGAAGTTGTATGTGGTTAGTCAACCTTTGACCACGGTAAGCGCGGAACCTGAACGAGGTTCTTCTGGGCGCATAGGGGCAGTTTTCGTGACCTGATGGCGGTCGCTTTTGCTGTTACTAACAGGTTTTTTTCCGATAGACGCTCCTTCGGATGCTACTGCCAGGTATCCTGTTTAGAAGGACATATGAGAAAGGAAGACCTGCACGAAGATACGCCGGAAGAACGTTTAATTGCAGTCATTTGCCTCTTGCTTGCGCATATCACGAACCCATTAGAGAGACCTGCTCTATTCTAAAATCTCAGTCAACGTTGAATACGGATAAGCGCATACTGTGCGCCTTTGCCTCGTTAAATTTCCGAGGAAATCAGTGCGCAAACTGGGAGTGAATCCTTCGGACCAGGCCTTTTCAGTCACAGCTTGAAATTATATATGAATATTTGAGCTGGAATCCATCAGCTACTGCAGAATTACCACGTGCTATTCGCAAACCGCCAATAGGCAGCCAGTAGTATAGAATTGTGCAATTATTTACCGTACTGACAACACAGGTACAAGCTAAAAGCCCAGACACGCGTGCTTTGTTGATCTTATGTCGCTGCCTGATGCCGTTGCGAGGGCTTCGGCTCATTAGTGGGTCCCTCAGCATTCCCCGTGTGTTTCCTGTCATATGAACTTCAGTTTCAGCTCAAATACTCATATCGAATTTCGGAATGTGCCTGAAAACGTCTGTTCTGAGAGATTCACTCCAAGTTCGTGCATTAGTTTTCTCGGAAATTAAACAAGGCAAGTTGAAACTGGAGTTCATATACCAGAAAACACACGGGCAAAGCTGGGGGACCCACTGACGAGCCGAACACCTCGCAGCTGCGTCAGGCAGCGGCATAATATCGACGAAACACGCGTGTCTGGGCTTTTAACTAATACCTGTGTTGTTAGTACGGCAAATCATTGCACAATTCTATACTACTGGCTGCCTGTTGGCGGTTTGTGAATATTATGCGGTTAACCCGCAGTAGCTGATGGATTTCAGCCCAAATATTCATATCAAAATTTCGAGCGTGACTGAAAAGGCCCGTTTCGAAAGATTTACTCCAAGTTCGCGCATTAATTTCCTCGGAAATTAAACAAGGCAAGTTTAAACTTGGATTTCATATACCAGAAAAACACACGGGGAAGGCTGTGGGCCCACTGATGAGGCGAATCCCTCGCAGCTGCGTTAGACAGCGGCACAAGATCAGTGAAACACGCGCGTCTGGGCATTTAGTTTGTACTGGGGTCGTCAGTACGGTAAATAATTAAACAACTCGAAGAAAAATGGGTCCTTTGGGAAACTGAACAAACTTTTGGCTAGATCGCAGTTGGTAGCCAGGCCCAGTATTAGAGGTGGCTGGAGGGCTTGTTTACTGGGACTATTCTGTGGCGCTTCATAATCACATTTGACCCATTTGGCTTTCGTTTTACTTCTGAGGGTAGGATTAGGGTGCCGGTTAATTGCTTCCGGTTTTCGGGTTAGGGTTATGCCATTAGACTTATATTTTTGGGTTACGGTTAGGGTTTGAGCGTACGATTAGGTTTCAGTAGTACGTTTAGGTTTTTCAGTTTCGGCTATGTCTAAGGGCTACGGTTATGTTTACGATTTCGGTTAGGGTTAGAGTTAGGGTTGCCTTTACGGTTAACGTTTAAGTTTGAGGTTAGGGTTAGGGTTAAGTTTAGGATCAGGGTTATAAACGCCGTCCCCTTCCCCATTCATGGCTACCAACTGCGATCTAGCCAAATTTTTTTCCGTACTTTTTCGACGCTGGTTCCCAGGTCGTCGTCAGACATGTAGAAAGTGTAGAAAAAAATGTGCAATGTTTTACCTTATTAACAGCACAGGTATTAGCTAAAAGCCCAGACACACGTGGTTCGCCGATCTTATGCCGCTGCCTGACGCAGTGTGAAAAACAGTTAAAGTTTAAACATGCCCGAAAAACCGATATTGCTTTGTCCATGCTGAGGTTTGACGTCACGTTTTGGTTGGTTATCACCTTTTCCATTTTTCCTTGATATGTGTGTACATGACGTCGAGATTGATGCGTGGATTGACGCATGAATCATCAGAATGAATGGCCTCTAGGAATTCTCCGCCTTTCTTATGAGGACAGGAGCCGACAATGCATGTTTTATCCCAAGCGAATTTGTGCCCAGTTTCAAGGGTATGCATGGCGACTTGGGATAAGTGGTCCCGCCTCTTCACTGCCAATTGGTGTTCATGTAGGCGTGTGGAGGCGGATTTTTCGGTTTGACCACAGTATACCGCATTACACTTGCCATACGGAATCTTAAAGAGTATTTCTTTTTATCCAAATAGCCAACCCTATCCTTAGAGTGAACAAGCTGACTGCTTAGCGTGGTCGTCAGTTTGTGTACCACCTGTATTTTGTGCTTCCGCGGGTGTCCTTCAACGAGTTCAGACACACTTTTAATGTAAGGAAGCGTTTGCCAATATTTTGGTTTTGGTGTCTGATCGGAACAATCTAGTTCCTTATCTCTTTCTTTTGATTCCTGCTGTTTCATGCGTCGGTGTACAAAATCTATAGGGTAACCGTTTTTAGAATAGAGGTTGAAAAAATAACTGAGTATTATTTTGTACGCTTTGTTCTCAGAGCAGTGTGTCCTTGATCGATTATGTAGGGTGCTAACAGCACTCCGTTTGTGAGTGATAGGGCGGTTGCTCTCGTAATGTAGGATAACTTCCGCATAAGCTTCTTTGCGGTATACTGATGTGTGGAATGACCCGTCATTTTTTCGCTGTATGAGGACATCAAGAAATGGGAGTTTGATGTAAACTTCTACTTCGAGCGTTAAGGTGACTCCCGGTAGTGTTAAGTTGATAACGTTATGCAGCTTCTCCAGCTGATCTCTCTTGACGATGACAGATGTGTCATCTACGTAGCGTACCCACAATTTCGGATTGAATACTGGTAAGACTATAGCCTCTGATTTTTGCATTGTCACCTCAACCAAAAAGCCAGAAACAGGTGACCCCTTAGGAGCTCCGTTTAGCTGTCGATAATATTCATGTGCGAAGGAGAAGTTTGTTTCCAGACATAGGTCCAAGAGTTCAAGCAAGGCAGATGCAGGAACATCGATATCGTAGGATTGTAAGAGTTCTTCTGTGCATTGTCTTGCCACATCGAGTGTTATCGACGTGAATAGAGAGATGACATCGAACGACATCATTATCTCATCTATATCAACAGTGAATCCTCTTATCTTGTCTAGGAATTCAACAGAATTCTTGATTGAAGTATTACAATCTTTTGTTAAGGGATAAGGTTTATGGAATAGCCATTTAGAGATCTTGTAATTCGGTGCACCGATTAGTGATACTTTCAGTCGCATGGTGCGTTGGGTTTGTAAACTTTCGTTAGTCCATAGATTTTATCGATTGTTGGTTCAGTTTGTCTTAGGGATTTCGCGATTTCTGCTGGTAGTTGTTTCTTTCCTGCAAGACGTTTTAGCACTTTAGAAATGAATGAAATTTGTGCTTTAGTAGGGCCCATGGTGAGAGGCATATAAGTTGATCTATCTTCTAACAATGATAGCATCTTTCTATTTTAGTCTGCTTTGTTGAAAATTGCAGTTGGGCCTCCTTTGTCTGCAGGAAGAATGACAATGTTTTAGTCAGTTTTCAGGGTCTTCAGTGCCTTCATTTCCTTGCGTGACAAAACCGAAAAATAGTTTGGGTTCCTTAGGGCTTGCGTAGTGCTACCACGGATTGTGAAACGCTCATCGCCAGGGAGATAATGGACTCTAAGTTTGCAAGGCAGTCTAGGTAGTCTGAATCGGAGAGATTGTGTTTTATTCTCTTGGAAAGTACATCTTCTTCAGTTATTGTAAGGGCTCTCGAGGAGATATGTACAACCTTAGTTGGATGATTGTGGCTTGCGTGTGTTTACTGAGACACAACTGTGCATCTTGTTTTATCTAGAAAGCAGTCGTGTCGTCTACGGTTTATAAAAGCAGAAACTACGGCGTTAAGCTTCCTTCCGTCATTAATTAGGGCTTTGAAGCGCCAAAGAAACCAGAGA